GAGGCTGAGTTGATGCAAGGCTTTTATGACCGTATGCCCTTACTGACGTCAACCAAACTTGTTATGTGGGAAGTTGGCACCCAAGGCTGACAGGTACTACACCTTGCCCAAGGGTGACCTGGAGGTAGTTGTGGCAAAGGGTAACCTCATTCTCCCGAGTACAAAAACTCCACAACCGGATGCAATTTTAACGTCGTACCCAGGACATGTCCAATAAAGCTGAAAACCGACACGACTAAGTCGTGAGGCCAAACCTGTAATAATTCGGGGAGCGCTGAAAAGCAACGCGTTCACCCGCGCGTTCAGTGTGCCCAATGTTGACATGGAGGTAGTTGTGACACAGGATAACCTCATCCTCCCAAATTCCAAGGGAAAACTAAAATATTAAGAGCACAGAACAAGTAGCAAAAAGGAAAAACACGCGTAAGTTAGCAGATAACCCACCAAGAGAACGAAACTCTTGGCTCCTGTGCGTGTTCTAAACTTGGTTGTGCATTTCTGTACGTGAGTGCGTAAATGCAATATTTGCCAAGACGGCGGAACTGGCGGAACTCATTATCCTGAATGTGACACAGGGCATTCTCCACTGTCCATGTATTGTTAAAGTTAGGCAGTAGGTTCATAACGCGTGAATATTCATATTCCGTTTTAAGTCTTGATCTAATACTTTGTTTGGAGTCGTAATTTTTGACAAAATTGGTCACAAATCACATGACAATGCTCATTAGTTTTTTATGTAAAATCATGAAGCTAATGTCTCATGGTACAATTAAATAGCATTATTTTGTGTGTTACAGTTATGCTTTTTGAGAAACGTGTCGTAATATTTCTTGAAAATTGCTATTTTTAGAACAGTTCTATAGAACACAATGTTAAAAAAAATTGCATTTTTTGACACTTTTTAAAACCCAGATTTTTAAAATAATTCAGAATAACAAGTACTCCATAATTAACAATACATGATTTTTTCAGCCTATGTCACCAGGTTAGATTTTGAGATATTGCATAATATCTCTGCCATAGGAACCTGTGGTAAAAGTGTTATAATAGTGTCAACATGGCGACTTTCAACTAAAATACAACCATCAATTTCTCGAAAAAAAGGCTGGTGACCCCAACTTTTTTAGGTCAATATCCTTATATAAAAGTATATTGCCTTAAAATACAATTAATTGCAAAATGAATAAATTCTGTGTTTTTTTTAATTTATGGATAGGCTTCTACCTTAAAGGCAGTTACAATCACGGGTTTCATACAAGCTCTACAAATCTGTAACTCATATCTTGTACCGTCATGCTTTGCTTCAGTGCAGTGTGCGTACTGTCCCAAAATACAGTTATACTTTCTTTTTACATGACGTAACCAATGAGTATTCTATACGTGACATTTTGAAACAAAATTAATTCTATTAAAATAGTATTTTTCCCTTAATGGCCCGATCAACATTGCTGATCATACAAATATTAGAAAAGGTGACCGAGTCAAATGAATGTCAGGTTGTTCCAAAATCAATTCAAATCCGGATAGTTTTCTCTAAAATCTCACTCAAAATCCAATTTGATTATATATTTCAAACAAACAATAATTTTTTCTGCCGATTTGTTTGTTAAATGTTCGCATTTGATGTTATAGTAGTAGTAGATCACACCACCCGCGGGAACAAGAAAGCAGTCTACTATCAAATTGGTCTACAAATGTTTTACTTTTTTTAAAGCAAAATATATATGATGTCATGCATAGCGGGCCAACATCGACATTACTGGTTTTCTGCGTTGAGGGAGACCCTGGAGCGTTTGATCTATGATTGGAAGTGGAGCTAGATCCTATGGGGCGTACACATATGGTAAAAAAACAATGCTTACAAATAATTCTAGTGTGATTAAATAAACTAATGTTTTTACAATCAGAACGTTTGTCCCACTTTTATTTTACTTGACGACGTTACTTTGTTCTTTTTTATGACTCTTGTATGACCAGCATTCTTCAGTTTATTGTACTTTTCAAGCCAACATCCTAATAAGGATATAATTATAATATAAAAGTTATTAATATTTATTTGGTTATGATATGCATGGCATGGCCATGGAGGAAAGAGAAGGATTTGACGATGACGCAGCTGTAACCGGTTTCTTATTTCAACGCTACGTGGAAGTGAAAAAACAACTGTTCTTTGAATCAGCCGTGCATGTGTGCGATGACTCAATTACTATAACAGCAACCTGGGAGAATGAGGTTACCCTTTGCCACAACTACCTCCAGGTCACCCTTGGGAAAGGTGTAGTACCTGTCAGCCTTGGGTGCCAACTTCCCACATTATAATAAGTTTGGTTGACGTCAGAAAAAGGCATATTTTCGTCAAACACTGCACAAACAGATCCGTTCCAGCCCGAGTTGTTCTTAGCATATGGCAGGAAGGATCGTAAACTCTTATAGTGAGAACCAGTGTAACTGGCCTGCCAACGGGGTGCTAAGGTTTTCATGGTAAAAGTTATCAGTCACATCCGTTAATGTAATTTCGTTTTACTTAACCGTAAATCAAAAATCACTATAACAGCAAATAACATCAGATCATATGCGTATCGTCTGCCATGCTTGGAGCAAATAACAGATCGACAAACGAGGGCGCAATTTCGGCACAAGGGTTACAAATAGTTCGGAAAATATGGGTCACGATTATCGTGAACGCAATGTCTGCAATCCCTCTGAAAACATGATTAAACATTTCGACTCGTGCCGAGATCTCGTAACGCGAACGTTGATATAAACTCTGATGGTGGAGATTACTTTGTCTTCTCAATCAGCTGTTCTGTGTTTATTCATACGTAATATTGGCCGGTGGTAATGGTTATAAGCAGGGGTTTATGTTTATTTTCTGCCGGGTTTCAGTTCTATAATAATTTTTTTCCTTCAATAAATAATGAAACTGCCACGCGTAGGGCTGTCTAACAAATATGTCAATAAATTACAATTTCGCCGATTGAGGGCGGTAGACACACTTCACGTCTACTGTGTCTAAAAAACTGTATTTAAAAAACTGTTTTAATACAAGACAGCAGCACCTACATAAACTAAGCCAGTAATACATTCCTTGTATTCAAATTATTATCTTTTTATTTTTTTTTTATGCCTTTTTGTTCCCTTACTCTTTATGTGGTTATTTTTCTTTTACTAATATCTGATTTGTAACCCTTTTCATCCCCTCCGGGGGATGTTGTGTGTTAATAAATAAATACTGTGTCCGTTCACATTTCACGCCAAGAATCTGACGATTCTGAAGATAACTAGTATATTGACAACTGATTTATATTGGTATCCATGTTACGACTTGCTACAGTAGAACATGTTATCGTGTTGTCCAGAGTAAGGCAAACTTTACACACAGATGTATACAGGATGAATAAGGCTAATTTTAACTGAATTGAATTTTAGATATTGTAATTAAAGTTTTGTTGAGACAATTACATTTGGAACAATTTGAAAACAGTTTGCCAATTGGGAAGGAATTTGGTAAAAACAAAATTAAAATAAAGAAAAATGATCATACAAAAATATAGCAATCAAATAATTGTTTTTTATTCCACAAATTTTCGCATCTCAGACTACATATGGTTGTCAGTGAACTGCTACGAATACAAATAGTGGTCTTGGTAGTCAGACTTTGGGATGTAATTCACCACACGTGTTAAAGTGGACCTCGGATGAGGTGGCTAGACTTTAGGTTTGACAATAAGTGTAAATGCAATTTAGGATGAGTAAGTCGGACATTGGGCCGGCAATATTACATTTGGAACCATGTTTTAATTGAATGCCATATCCACGCATATTTGGCATTGACCTTTGGACGAGGGAACCAGAATTTCGGTGGGACTTGTAATATAAATTGACATGAACAATCATACGATCTAATTCATAGAAACTTAAGTTAATAGAATTCCAAAATGGAGAGTTCAAACACAGGTTGCACATTGACTAAATACACAATAAAACAAACATTTTACAATCAGTATCACAATAGTGATTTATTGGTAAAAGTGAATTACACATGTTTTGATTACATGCAATGCTGTATAAACGCGTCAAATGTGAAAATAATGTGATATTAAAGATTAAAACAGTTTATAAAATGGTAGATCCAAATATTTTTGTTCCTAAATAACTATGAAAATTATGATAAATCTGCAGAGAAACGTAGTTTGAGGCATAACAAAACGTTTTACATACTGTTACCGTGTGTTTACTAATTTTAAACCATAAATCCCACCAAAAATTATACCTAAAATCCCAGAAACAGGACCCATTGATCGACATTGTTCATTGCATAATAGCTGATAAAATATGTTTTAATCCTGAATCAGAAATCTAAACGAGCCCAAAAATCACTGCTACACATCTAATTCAATCTATTTCAATACATTTCAGTCCCAGTGTCATCTTCTTGCATATTATCCACGGTTACTGATGCATTACATTTCTGTAATTAGCTATTCTTGTTAGGTAATTTTACGGTTACCTGAGGACAAACCAAACAATATATTAATACTAATACACTGAAGTGAAAGTTGCTATAGCAACAGTTTTGTGATAACTGAATGTTACCTAATGACGTCATCATAAACATAAGTAGTTTAGGAAATACTTTTTACATTGTATGACAATACGATGTTTGATTGATGTGGCATAAAATCAAATATTCGCAAAATGTACGTGTTTAAGGTAACTTACAGTTTTTATTTCTGTAAACGCATTCAGACCATATTCACCACTGCAATGAATGATATATTAATTAATTCCTGAGTATGGAAACTCAAATATTTTCAGATGAAAATAAATATAAAGAAAATAATAAACAATTTATATAATTACATATGTGAATATAATTATCTATGTATCAAATAGACGACATAAAACTGTAGACAATATAAATTCCATAGCTAAGTTTTGTAATGCTCACAAACTTTCCTGTGTGACTTGCATTTACTGATTGATGCTTGGATATGTTATTTCGACTTTATCCACAATTCATACATTTCCGATTAGCAGACTGTCTAAATTACGATTGATAAGTGCCATCATGCATTTTAGTTTCATGAAGAAATACAATGAAATAACTTACTACTCTCGTCCGTTTCCTGACATCTTGAAACCACCAAACGGAGCATTTGGTCTTATGGCTCCCCAGCAATTAATCCTGTAGAAAATGACATAATTTCATGTAGTATGAGTTATCAACTGAAACAGCAACAAAGTGTGTGAACTGTAGAACATAGAATACAACATTGGAACTGTTTTTGATTTAGTATTCAGGAACGTTGTAATAACATATCAGGTAAAGTCTTCAAAACGTAATAAAATAGTAATTAAATTGATTGCGGGGCTCTGCTTAAAGGCTATACAAGTTACAGTAATCACAGAAAGTGGTTCATCTTTGAAGCTGACAAAAACACCATATTTTTAAAGTGACACTCGGTTCGATGTTAGGAAATTCAAAATGGCCATAAATATTTATTATTTTATATTTACCACACTGATCCTGCTTGCAGTGCATTTGAAATGGTCAATGCTTTGTCAATGTCATTGGTAAATACACCAGCTGCAAGTCCATATGACGTATTGTTGGCTCGTTCAATCACTTCTTCAATGGTCTTAAATTTCAGAATTTGCTGAACGGGACCAAATATCTGAATATGATGAAAAATTGTGTTTGGGAGCAAATGTTATCTCATTAGTAATAAACAAATAATGGCGGAAACAAATACATTCAAGCATAGTTTAACATTACCTCTTCTTTTGCAATCCTCATCTCGTCTGTTACACCAGAGAAAACAGTACTCTCTATAAAATATCCCTTGTCACCTTGACGACTGCCTCCGCATTCCAGTTTAGCACCTTCTTGTTTACCACTTTCAATTAGTTCTAATATCTTTTCAAACTGTTCATTGTCTACCTATAAAAAATGCATATATACCAAAATACACTTTTTTGATCACACACGCCCTCAGGCATGACGCATATGATTGTAAGCAATGTCGTTCGTGTGCATGGCAACGATACGAATACAGCATTCACATGGTTCAATATTATTTTCTCTAATACATTTTGAGATGTTTGTATTCTGCCAGATGTTATGCTAACTCTGTGTTAAACAAGGATAAACATTTTTGGACCATAACAAAAACCAGCAAGAATCAACAGATTGAATGTGTAAACTATTACTTATTGAAGACTATCAAAAGAAAATGACACAAGTCAAATGTTATGAGATTGGCATAGACGCAGCAATAGTGTGGTTGTGTGAGATTGGCATAGACACAGCAATAGTGTGGTTGTGTGAGATTGGCATAGACACAGCAATAGTGTGGTTGTGTGAGATTGGCATAGACACAACAATAGTGTGGTTGTGTGAGATTGGCATAGACACAGCAATAGTGTGGTTGTGTGAGATTGGCATAGACACAACAATAGTGTTGTTGTGTGAGATTGGCATACACACAACAATAGTGTGGTTGTGTGAGATTGGCATAGACACAGCAATAGTGTG